TATCAATGCTGAAATGGCCACACCCTTGCTTTTTAATAAAGTGCTGACTTTAGATTAGTGGAAAGAGATTAAAAAAATATTTGACTCATCTAACTTTATTGCAAAGTGAAAACCTGAGGCCATATAACTGTATGTTGGGAAAAAAGAAAGAAGGTTGGTGAGTGCATAGAATTCAATGTGGCAATCAGAATTATTGGTCAGAATGGTTACAGGCACGACCTTGAATGTATCGTATTGGTCATCAGAAAATCTTAGTCTTTCATGTGAAGACCCTGAGGAATTCAATTTTGCATGAACTTAAAAAAAATTAAGACAGAAGTCTCCATATTTTAGTCAATGATTCTCTTTCTATATTTATGAGAATCTTTGGTCTAAAGGTATTCTTCTCAGTGACAATTCAGGAAAGTCTTGAAATATCAAATATAATCTTATATTAACATTAGGCATTCAAAAGACATAAACCTTTTTATAAAAAATTTATTTCTCTGTAAATACAAATTCAAACATCAACAAAGTTTCTCCAGTGGAAAAATACTAGCCATTAACAGTGAAAACATACTTTATTTAATAAATAGAACTTTGGCATTCAAAATTCTAGCTGTAAACCCTATTTAAAAAGAAAGGGAGGGGGTAAAGAACCTCTTTTTACAAAAAAAGAGGCAAGAGCAATAGGTTAGAAGGCATAAGCCAGCCAGTGGCTTCACATTCTTTTTACAATAACAATATTTCAATTAAGTCATGACCCCTGTATTTACATATGAGGTATTCTGAGTGGTTCAAAAATTGAACCTAGTTTATAATAATACCAGTCAAAATGACTGATTAGATACTCAGCTGTGCTTTTAATGTAATCATCTAGCACCTTCTAGTTCTTATCATCACATCAGTGTGATGCTGAATTTTATGTTTATTTCTTTAAATAACTGTACATCTATGTACACACATACACACACAGAAGAGGACATTCCAAAGATGTTTCCTGCTCCATGTACAGGAAAACGATATATTCTGATACTCCTCTTATGTTTACTGATATTTACACAGTGATGAAAAGCTGCTCCTTGCTTTTAAAAACAAAATATCACACAAAGAAAGAAAGAAAAAAATACACCCCCTATTCATGTGCATTTACAGAAGAACAATGTGGCGATAATCGTCAACAATCTTATAGGTCATGTAAAACAGAAACCAATGCAGACAAAAGGCACAAAAGGTTCTCTCTGTATGTAGCTGCTATAGTGTTGTTAATAGGTGGATTTTGAAACTACATTCTTATGATAAGTCAAAATTTCTTTAGGAAAAAAAAACCCTAAAAATCCTTCCTCCTTCATGATTAAATGTGTGATAGACTCATACAGGAATATATACCACTCATAAGCATTCTGAAGTGAAGTAAAAACATTACTTTATAGCCCAAATAGTTTTCTTGGGTTTTGTGATTTTTGTTTGTTTTTCAACAATGAGAATAAATTTAAGAATATACATTGGGGGGGCCAAATGAATTAACTTTGGCTTTAATAACTACAGCTACTGGCAGTTTGAAATTATATAGTCTGAGTGAGCCTGGTTATGTGAAATGCTTATTATTTTAATCACACATTTAAAGTGACACAAATTAACATGAGAGAATGTCAGTAATCCAAATTAAAAGTGTGCCTGAGTTGAACTATTCTTTGTAAGCATATAGTCCAGGTTCCTAGCAAATATTTCACTCAATGAATTATAACTGACATTGAAATAATTTTTTTATTAAAAGTTCTTTAAAAATCTCTTCCAAAAATGTCTATTAACAAGTCTTGAACTATGTCAAAATTAGTTTATAACTTAGTTTATAAGTCTGAAATGTACAAGACCCCTTTTTAGTAACTTTCCAGCCCTTGAAATTATCTCTAATAAGCTAATGAAAGAAGTCTAATTCCTTTTAATAAGCTGTCACTATCAAAATAGACTTCACTAAAATACTATTAAATATTTAATACCATTCCAAATATGAAAAGGAGTGACACTTATTTTAAAATAAATTCATGCACATCTTACCTAATCAATACTTAATATTTTGTAAAATTAGAAGCCACTGGAAATTTACTAACAGTTTAAAATCATTCTGTTTCTGACATCAAATGAAAAAGACAACTGCTGTGCCTTTGATGCCACTAATTTTAGCAGCACATGTAATGTAAGTCTTTCTCTGACATAACTGTTACTTTCTGCCTGCTTTGATGTAACTTAGGCAGAATAAACTTCACCTCAAATCACAGATAGCTAATACTAAATGTTACGATTGCATGAGAAACTATGTAAGTGGACACGTGTTCAATTCTAAACAGTCTAACAAAAAAAGATGTTTCATAACATAGGAAATTTCCCAAGCTCTATTTTTAATTTAGGTTCCTTTTCATTCAGGCATATTTCTCTGCAGGAAATTTTGTGAAAATCCTAGTTAACACTGAAGCAGGCCAACAGAGTGCATGCTGCCCATTTTGCCATATGGTCTACAAGTAACATTTATTTTCCACAGATATCACTATTATTAATTAGTGCACGAGGTGGCTTGGAAGAGGGACATTTCCTGAAAAATAAAAAATTACATACTGACAAAATAGAATAGTTCTAGTTTCATCTCCTCCCCAAACTTCCTCCAAGGCCATCTTATAAGGGCCTCTTTACTAATGCCAGATTCTAGGAGATTCAATTTTGTACTTCCAGGCTACATTTAAACTGTCACATCTTAACTTTCTTCTTTCAGGGAGTTAACAATTTGAAAACTGTAGCACATCTGCAGTATTCTATCAGTTTCCTATAAAGTTGGATTTTTGTAATCTAGAGATATCTTAACTAAATAAAATGCTTTTAGTTTTAGAAAATAAAATTACTGCATTAAAATTATTTAATCCAAACTAAATCAGAAAACAAATCACTATAGTAGATTAAAACAAAACAGTAAATAAGTTTAAAACACTACCAACCATAAAACTTCCAAACATACTAAAAACCTAAGAAAAATTTTAAATCAAATCAGTGATTGGTTGCTCACTAGAACTATATTATTTTAGGATGTTTCTGTCTTGTAGGTAGGGGGAATGATTCTATTCAAAGAGATCACTGCTGTACATTTGCCTTATCTACTTGACATGCTATTATTCACCTTTCTGTAAAGGGGCATTTCCACAGATAATTCTGCACAGAAAGCTTCTGTGATTCAGATTTTTGGTACAAATTTACTTCTCCCTGATTGTCCTCAAACCACCATTTAAAAGAAGGGGGAAAAAATATCAGGCATCAGAAAGCCAGAAATATCAGGCATCAGAAAGCCAGACTTTTTCCAGTGACCAAGTCCTTCTGTATTAGGTTAGGGACACCGGGCTACAGAAGGAGTACAATGTAGTAATAGTGTCCTGATCCTACAAAGATAGGCTATTAGGAAGAATTCTAGCACTTGACAGATGTAAAATCTGATGTCTTTACAATGTTTTAATATATCACTGAAACATAACTAAGAAATGACCTATTGAGAGCTGGAGGTTTTATGTTTATCCCACAGATTGAGAGATACCCTTCCTCACCACCTACAGTATAAACCAGGCAAGATAACAAATCTGTGATCAGCTCTTAACCAAACATTTATTATTCTGCATGATACCCACTCCTTATCTTCCCACCCCTTTGTTGTTGTTGTCGACTGTGACATCCAGTGACCCTGTGAACAATGGCTCTGAACCCTGTCCCACCCTAAGTCAATCTCACTGCCTGACACATCTGACCGCACTGCCATAGTCACCCCTTTAGTTTTGACTAAATGATTTTGGGAGTATCAATAAATCAAACTAACCTGCATAAGACAATGATTTGTCATATCTGAGCATATTCAAAAGAATTTAATTAATGCTTTGAAGGCAATAAGAAACATTGTTCCATAAAAGTACCAACTAAAAAAAAAAATACTCACTTGGAAATTTAAAGTTAAATCTATTTAAAATTCAATTGCATTTCATAGTAATACCCTGTACTCCAGATGAAGCAATAACCCAGTCAGGTTAGGATTTCATGGAAAACTCTACTCTTAAGGTACTTTACCTGATAAAAAATATCAACTAGATTTAGATGATGTTTTATGCAAGTGATTATTCAGATAAAGAAATAACATGTTGGCTTTCTCCTAGATTCAATTTTAAATTAAACAGACAGAAAACTGTTAAAATGTAAACACTGAGATCTGATAAATAAGTTATTGTTCCAGAGTCACTTTCTTAGCATTTCTTTTACCATATTGGTCAGAGGCCTTCCTTCGAATGCTTGCACTAACTACATGGCTTTGTTTACACTGATATATAAAACAAACTATAAGCACTAAGGAGAAGATTTAAAATTAGTTCAAATGATGTTAAACTGCCTTGTAATAGAAATGAAAATGTTTAAACAAACTAAGGGGGAACCACCAAGCAATGCATCAAGTTTCACATATTTAAGGCTATCCACACTCACTCTGGAAAACAGCTGACTTACCTACAGTACTAACATCAACCTAAGTCTACAACCTCATCATCTTAGCACAGTGATTATTCAAAATACAGATGGTTTTGCTTGCTCTAACACTGTTTGAATGCATGCCCACTGTTGGAAGCACAAAACAAATCCCAATCCTTTTATCTTAGAAACATTCTTCACAGCTTGGTCCTAAAATCAGTAGTTTGAGAATACAGACTTTTTTTTTAAACCCCTTACAGACTTTTATCACATTTTTCAAATGGTAATGTGATTTTTTTTTTCTGATTAGACAAACCCTTCTCTTCAAAATCTCTTGAACTTTTGTCCCCTCAATAAAAACAAAGGCTCTGCTCAAGGGGAATTTAAAAACAACCAAAAAACAAAACCAAACCCAAAAAACTATGCGCAAATCATACATAACTTGCAACCTTCCTTTACGGCTCCTTAAAAAAATACGAAGAACTGTAACACAGCAGCATTTCACACGTCATTATTGCTGTGAGGTCAACACTTGATCACTGAGTGATGCAGTTGTCTCCCATGTCCTGAGCATAGCGGTCGGATATTGTAGTCCTTAACTCATCGATGTCCCTCCGTAACTGGCACACGTCAGACAGTTTCTTAGTCAGTGTTTCAGGGCTGTGGTCACTTTCTGTCTCTTCAGCTGAACAGTTCATTGCTGTGGAAATAAAACATGTAGAAAATGTCTCACCTTTTTGAACAAAGACATTTTAAAATTACATCTTAATTTAATCACTGGAAACTTAATAGATGTACACTTAGTAAGGCTCAAGAATACATTAAACACTTTAATAGTAAGCTACAAAATCCTTTAAAATTTTGATTCTTTTAAATTCATGAAACTCATTTAACTTTGACACAAAGTTAAAAGAGCAAAGAATGTCATATAATAATCTCTTCAAAATGAACTAGGATACTCAAATCTCCCCATGTGTCAATGTCTGTACTACTACAGGAGGTGAAGTTTTAGCATTTTCTAGATAGCAAAGGGATTTTATTTGCTTAAAACATTACTTTTTCAAAATAGCCAGTGTTTATATAAAAACCAATTAAAGCATATTAAATATTGACCCACAGGACTCTACAGTCTCAACTGAGTCAAGATGACAAATAGTTGCCTAAACAGAGTAACTAAAGTGAGGCCTCTAGTCATCTCGCTTTTACATTTTTCTCCTAGTTCTTCCATTTGTAAGCATTTCTCAGCATAAACCAAAGTCACTGACAGAGACAAACTATACCCACACTGCCCAAGCTCCTTATAACTTAGTTATTTTAAACAAATGTTATATGAGCACTTTGCATGATCCAGACACCATGTGAGGTGCCAAAATAACAAAGTAGCTTGTTCTCAGTAATTTACAGTTATATACACAAATAAGCACAACTAAGTATCATAGGTGACCTACTACCACAACTGGCTACAACAGCAGAAGAAAACAACATTTGGAGAGGTAGTGAGGATGTTCACTGGATAGGCCAAGAAAGCAAAATGGACAGAGGTATAGAGGCAGGAAAACGGAATGGCCTGACAGAATGAGAGAAACTTTTCAAAAAGATCACCAGTACTATAAAATGGAAGAGCACAGATGATGAGAACACATGGCCAATATATAGGTAGAAATCTACCCTACTTCTACTTCTGACAAGTATTGGTAAATCAACTTCATGGTTTAGATCGATCACTCAGACTTAAAGAGAAAATTTGATAGTGTCAGGAAGATTAGCTAGGATAATATATGAGTTCTACCCAGGAAGATGACACAACCCTGTTTGCTGAAACTGAGGAGGACCTCATGCACTTCCTGCAGAGGGTCAAGGACTGCAGCCTTCAGTATGGACTGAGGCTCAATGTCAAGAAGACAAAGATTCTCACCACTGGACCAACTGGTAGCATCAGGATGGATGGCAAAGAGATTGAGATTGTTCACAGCTTTAGTTTGCTCGGCTCCACGGTCAACACTCTTGGCACCAGAAGCCAGGAAATCAAAAAACATATTGCGATGGGAAAGTCTGCTGTTAGGGACCTCTTTAAAGAACTCAAGAGCAACGGTGTCTCTCTGGAGACTAAGGTGCACCTGATACAGGCCATGGTCTTTGCAATCACTTGTTATGCATCAGACAGTTGGACAATGACTAGGGAGGACAGAAGGAGAATTGATGCCTTTGAGCTATGGTGCTGGAGAAGAGTATTGAATGCACCATGGGCTGCCAAGAAAACAAAACAGATTCATCCTGGAGAGGGTTAAACCAAGCTACTCCTTGGAGGCAAGTATTCTGGGGCTTCGTCTGACATACTTTGGGCATGTTGCAAGGAGGGACAGGTCCTTGGAAAGGGACATCATGCTTGGGAAGGTGGAGGGATAGTGCAAGAGGGGAAGACCCTCTATGAGATGGATTGATTCAGTGACTGGCGTAATCGGGATGGGTGTGTCAGAAGCAGTGTGACTGGCATAGGATAGAGCAGGGTTTAGGGTTGTTGTACATAGGGTCGCTATGAGTCGCAAACAACTCAACGGCACATAACAAAAACAACCCAGGAAGGGCTATGAAAGCTTAAATTATGGTAGGAGATAGATGAATGACAGAAATAAATGTGGAAAAGGGGTGAGAGAAACCTGATGCAGCTCAATCATTCAGCAAAGAACCTCAACAATGGAAAAGGTATAGTACAGAATAAAATCTGGCTTGGGATGAGGATTGGATATGATGTTAGTCACCGAAGAGGAGCAACTCTTTAAAAAAAGTCTTTATAGATAGATTCTGTTTTGAACACAGTGAGTCTGTTATGCCTATGAAATACTCTTAACATCACTCTTGAAGGGTAAAGGGGTCAACACAGGAAGACCCTGGATGAAATGGATTGATACAGTGACTATGTCAGTGGGGTCAGGTGTGTCAAAGACGGTAAAGTTGGCTTAAGACACAGCAAGGTTCAGAGCCATTGTTGATAGGGTCATTATGAGTCATAGTTGACGAGATGGTACACAGTAACAACAATATACAAACGAATATGGTCAGGAGCCCAAAAGAGACATCTAGACAGGATAAATAAGTGAATAAGTCAAAGTTAAAGCTACATCAGAAAACAAGATGTGGCTAAGATTACTCAGAGAAAGTACTGGAAAAAAACGAGGACAATAACACCAACCTCCAATATTTAGAAGGGATGCACCAATATTTAAGTGGCAGAGTAGTTAGTTCACAGACTTGTGTGGTCTTTAAACGAGAATGTCATAGAAACCAAGGAGCAGAGTTTGATGTAGAGTCAATAGAAAACCAATTGAGTAGTGAGAGGATGATTAAACAGAACCCTTTGTTCTTTATGTTTAATCAGCATCTTTTTTGTTTATTGCCATTCCCTCCACCCAAATTTTCCATATCTTTTTACTCCCCTCTTTTCTATCTCATCCATGTTTGGTTCTCTGTGTAAACCTATCCTGAGCATTTTGTAATGGTCTTGGCACCATAACTGGGCGCACTGGTGGCTTAGTGCTAAGAAGTTGCACTGATAACCTAAAGTTACATGGTTCAAACCCCTCAGCTGCTATGCTGGAGAGAGATGGGCAATATGGAAATGTACTAGAGGGTCAACCATGAGTCAGTTCTGATTCAATAGCACATAACAACAATATCCTAATTGTCTTCTTGTTACTGGCTTATGTTATTCTGCATAATTTGTTCAAGATTTATCCATGCTGTGTACTATTTCTCTTTTTATAATTTTTTAGTGATACTGTATTGTGTGAATGCACCATAGTTTCTTTAGCCATTTGTCCAATAACACACACTTGGGTTGTTTCTAACTCTTTGCTCTTATAAATAATGTTGTAAAATAAGTATGAGGAGTGCCACTGCTCTTATTTCTTTGAAATATTTATCTAGTAGGGAAGTTGCTGGGTCAAACAGTATTTCTATTCCCAAATTTCTAAATTCTTTCCTTAGTAGGTCCATCATTTTACATTCATGAGAGTTCCAACCTCTCTGCTCCCTTGGCCAGCATTTGTTGTTGCTTTCTTGTTGAACTTTGCTGTTGTTGGTGAAGCAAGATATTCTCACTTACTGTTCTGATTTGCAACTCTCTAAATATAAAGTGATCTTGAACATTTTTCATGTGTCTGTTAGCTATCTGCGTGTCTTCTTTATTAAAAAGTGTCTTACTCCTTTTGAGGTGTTGTGAGTGATCTGTAAATTTCAGCGAGGAGTTGTCAGATATTTTTACCCTGTCTGTAGGTTTTCTTGCACTCTTTTGGATTAAGTCTTTTGATGCACATTAGGATTTAATTTTTAAGTTTGTCCTATGCTGAGTGTGCACTTTCAATTATATTTGGTAGTCTGTGCCAGAATGAGTTTGCAGATTTAATTTTTCCTTTGATGATCTCTGTAGTTTTTAGGTTTTATGCCAAGGTCTCTTTTTTTAAGTACTTTTAAAAATTTGGTTTTCAATAGTAATTTATACTGTATTTCATTCATATATATTATGCCTAGGTCTTTAGTGCATCTTCAGTTAGTTTTTGCACATGGTGTGAAGCATGGATTTTGTTTCAATTCTCTACCTATAAATATCTAATTTTGTCAATTCCATTTGTTAAAGGGGCTGTCTTTTCTCACTTGTTGCTGACTACCTTCGAGTCGAGCATGACTCATAGCCGACCCTAGGAACAAAAGACCTGAAAGCCCCTCTACAACTACAATTTACCAAAGTTCATAGTCTTCTCACATAGTAAATTTTATCCCTTTGATATATGGTAAGTATTTACAGAGTGAATATATCTGAACACTTAGTGTATGTTTTTACATTCATATTTGTATATATAGAGAAACATCTATAAAAACACTGAAGTATAAGATTTTACTGATTCTGAACTGCACAAAGAGCTTTTTGTCTCAACAAATGATCCTTTTTTACCTATGCTTAGAGACAATAAATAAATAATAGATAAATAAATAATTTCAAATTATTTTAAGATAGGTCTGGATTATTCCAATCAATGACATCACTGTTTATATTTAAAAGTGAAAGTGTCAGTACAGATGAGGTGACTTTCTCAATCTCTTTCTTTAGAATGAGTTATTTTATCAAGAGTACTTATTTGATTTGCCTTGTAGTTGTCAAGTGCTGTCGAGTTGTGGGGGACATATAGCGACCCAATAAACAAAAGGCCTGGACACTTGTATAACTTTCATCCTTTCTCCAGGTTCATAGAGTTTCTGGAGGCGAGCCCTTTCAGAAGTGGATGCCACTCCTGCTTCCAAGCTTGTTTTAATTGGGGAGCACCCACCAAACGTAACCATTATCACATTTGACACATCAGTGTCACAGTGTTCAGCTTCACAGCAACCACAAGTTACCTCTGCATAGCCAAGTGGACAGACCAGGGCTATACGACCTAGAATGTTTGACCAAAAACAATCAGCCACAGGCCCTCAGTCCCTACAGTATTTTACAATTTCAGCACACCCAGATGCTGGCGAACTCTACACCAATTCATCTGGCAAGTCCCCTCTGCTGACACCCACTTGGGATGTAGAGTAGAGTAGAGTATAGATATAGTATGTGTTGTGTTGTTGTTGACTGCTGTCTAGTCGAGATTGATTCATAGCAACTCTATGAACAAAAAACCTAATCCATTTCCACAGCTATATTTCTTTTTCCAAGTTCATAGAGTTTCCAGAGGCATGTGTTTTAAGAAGTGGATGCCACTTCTGCTTCCCAAACTGTTTTACAACTGGGAGCTCCACCAAACACTGTCTACAATGGGAAACCATTCTGGTATTTTATATCCCCATGGCACAAGGTTCAGCATTTTAGCAAACCCAGGTTACCTTATATAGCTTATATACCTTATTTGACAAAGAGTGATGTGCAAAGTAGAAGAATGTTCCTCCAAGATATAACATAACTAGTTTGTTCATAGATGAAACTACCACTGAGAGATAATATAACCAGTCTCATTTAGCACTGGTTAAGTGCTGTCAAGTCGAATATGACCCAGAGTAAGCTTTGCATAAAAAACCTGAACTTTTTTCTATGATTAATGTCTTTTCTGTACATTTATAAGAGAATTTGTAGAGTTTCCAGAGGCACCAAATGTAGGAAGTGGATGCTATTCCTGCTTCCTAACATGAATCAATCTGGAAGCTCATCCAACCATAGCACATAATGGGTAACCATTATGGTATTTAACATGACTACGGGATAGTGTTCAGAATCACAGAAACTCCAAGTTGTTCGGTAGAACAAATATACAAATGATTGCTGTGTCTTTTAAAGAATATTCTATTAAAATTAATTAATTTGGCCCTCAGGCCCTACAAAATTTTAAATATACTCCCTCAAGCCAAGCTCCACTCATACCCTTAGTCTAAGGTTCAAGGGCCACCTGCTTTTGAGAAGGGACAAGGAATAGTAACACACAGCAAAAAGGATCCCAGAAACTTCCCCTGCCTGACTGACATCCAGGTGAAACCACCACTGAGACACTGCCAGCCAGCCAGCTAGCTTACTTCCAAGTCCCCAGGCCTCCTATTGTGTGTGTATGTATGTATGTATGTATGTGTGTATGTATGTATGTGTGTGTGTGTATATATATATATACACACACACACACATACTCATACACATACGTATAAATATACAGCATATACACATAGTGTGTGTGTGTGTGTATATATATAGTATACAGTATACCATATATATAGTATATAGTACTTAAAAAGAATTATTCATGGAAGATGGTTATCATCTTTTTGAAGAAAATAAAAATGTTATATTCTCAGGCAGTTACTTAATATATGTTTGTTCATATGCTTTATTCTAATGTGATCTCATTCCATTCTCATCTCTTCACTTAAGTCTATTTTCTGAATTAAAGAGCAGCCAACATGACATTATTATGACCATTCTGGAAGCATAGGAAGAGCTGATTGTTACTTCAAAAGCAGCAAGTAAGTGACAGGTCATCTAGATGTTGCTATGCCAGATACAAGTACATCTGTGGGTAGGTAAGTTCACACTGATGAGGGTAAATCCAGAAAGCAGGTATGACAGGGACAAAAACAAAACTGGCATATGCAAGTGTTGATAATCACACAAAGTAACTGCTGTGGACCTCACCAACATAGGAAAGCAAGTAAGTATTTTCTTAGAAATTATTTTATCGGTGGGCTTACGACTAGGTAATTCATTAAATTACTACATGGAACTATTATTTTTAGAAGAGTTAAAATACTTTAACCAAGATCCTATCAGGATATTACATGTTATTAACACTCCAGTCACATGTCTATAGTTTCAGCACAGGAAATTTCCCCTTGTTCATCCACATAGTAACAGATCCTATCAGCTATGACCATGCTCACTTCTTAGGTATAATGAGTTAAGTTTTAATGATGAAGTGAGAGTTAGACACACTCAATGATTCAGAGATGTGCAGATGTAAGTAGGCAAGAAGAGAACAAAAACAGAGAAAAGGAAGAAGTTTGATTTATGAAGACAAGTTTCTTATTGCTAAGTAATAAAAGGACAAGTTACCAGCCACTTACATCTGATTCCCAGTAATAATGAAAGATTAGGTTCCTTGCCCTGAGCACGCTGATTAAGAATACTACACAATGCTTTCAAGTCAAACAAGCAGTAGGACATTTCCTTGAATAGCTGGTCAATCACAGTCAAATCAAATAATGGCCATTTGGAAAGAGTTGTCTGTTGCCTGGATTGGTCTGCTTCCTGGCCCTGATCCATAGAACAGCCAGTCTCTTCTGTTTGTCTTTGGTTCTGCCATGGGTAAAGAAAACAGTCATTAGGTTGTTAAAATAGGAAAAAAGCAGTCAAAAACTACAGAAGGTTAATCTCTATCCCCACGAGCATAAAGAAAACCGTGAAGGCACATTATATATGTACCCCAAGCAAATTCTACTATATATGCACTATAGGGGTTAAAAAAAAAAAAGAGTGAGTTAAATAGTGCAAATGATTCCACTGTGCCATTTGATGGCAAGTCAGAGAATGAAAATAAAACTGAAGTCTCAGTTTTAGGAGTCACAGACATTTTCATATAATGAGCCATATCTCAGTAGTTTATATCTATTTAAATGGTGGGATATTTGCCACACACAAATTGAAGGATGAAGAAATTTGAAACTAATTTCTATTGTTTTATTGCTACTAGCAAAAATTATTTAGGTACTGTGAAACTAACTTTTTATACACTGAGGGCGGGAAAACAAGTATGTTGATAAGAATTTTAAAAACTTCAGGTTAAAATAAAAACCCTCAATTGCTAAATATCAAGTGGAAGCACCAATATGAACTCATGACTTGACACCCAGAGAAAGCGACACTCACTTCATACAATAACTGTCAACCCCTAAGCCCTTATCATGAAAATTGCTTTCCAGCTGAAATTATATTTCAGAATAAGTCAGTGATGATGACGAACAGATTTTTTTTTTAATATAGAAAACTGCTGGCTAATAAATATAAAAGTGATCACATAATTAGAAAAAAAATCCCACCATTTTCTAGCCTACTGGTTTTTTTAAGAACTGATCATCATTAGGGAGCTCTGGTGGCCTAGTGTCAAGAAAGCTGCACTGCAATCCCAAAAGTGCACGGTTCGAGGGACAATCTCCTCCTGTGCCAGTCAGATCTGATTTGACGGTACACTCACACAAAAATAATAAAATAAAACTTTTTTTAAAAAAAGAACTGATTATCATTTAGAACTACCAAATTATAAATTTGCTGGTAAAATGCATATTCATATAGCTAATCCCAATAGAGTCCATGCTAGTTGCAGGGGCTAAAATAAGTAGTGAGTCATCTATTGAAAGCAATTACACTTTCCTCTACTCACCCCAAGCAATGCTTTTGTTAATCTCTGTATGTTTCTTTCTTTTTTTTCTAGTTCTTCCACCACCTTTTGAGTGGCCAATTTCTCTTTTGATAGCTTGCCTTGCATAGACTACAATAAAGAAAATTAGAAAGCAAAGCAAGTTAATACATAAAAGTAAAATGTCAGTCTAACATAGGCAATCAGGAATACTGGCTTAACAGCATAAATCATCTTTTATCTTCAACTCCTTAGAAGATGAATCCTTTACTTTACTAATTCAAGCTTCCGTGACTCCAAAGAAATGTTCTATTATAAGTAAGTTTTCACTTGGATAAAAGAAAACATGTCAAATCTAAAGATTCTGCTTAATGCTTATATTACATATATATAATGCCTATTTTTTTATATCTTGGATATATTAACAAAAAATATATTTTTTAAAATATTAACTACTTTAAAGAATATTTATTGTAATTAATAAGATACAATTTTATCATCTTTTTCAATCCTTTGAAAAACCACTAAATTATCATCTGTCATTTGTAAGCCATGAATATGATGTGGAATATATTTATTCTAGTACTTTGATAAAGTCTTTACATAACAAAATTTTATAGGTTCTAGATATACTACTTTTAAAATATCTAGAATACAACAAAGCAGAAAAAAATAATTTTCAGAGTATCTACTAAAGGTTTGCTCTTCAATTATATAACAAAGAATACTTTGTAATAAGCTCTGTAGTGAATTCTAGGTGTTTACATAGTATTTTCTTAATGTTAAATACAGAATCTATAATCAAAAGACCAGAGGAGAGATTTCACTTTCCCACACATAGGTCAGTAGTCATATCTTGATAACATTTCTGATTTCTCTAAAAACCTGCCAGTGGGTCAGCTACGGTTTGGTTCTGACTCTATGGTACACAACAACACACAGTATACAAAGAACACAAAATGTCAACTGTGACATCTTTACCTTCTCATTCTTTATGGGTTGAATGAGAATGGACAGCTTTCACCACGAGTCAAGACTCTACAAATATACAAGTAGTTTTATCTAAATAATAAATGTTGTTGTTACTGTTTGCCATCTACTGAGGCAGTTAATCACACAGGAGGAGACTACCCATCCTTCTCCTGTGGAGCAGCTGGTGGAATTGAGCCACATGCCTTCAGGACTGCAGTGCAGTTTCTCACAGCACATTCACATGAGACTGAAGTATGTATGTTCTGTTTTGGGATCCTGAGATTCATCTTTAGCTTGTTACTTGACTGAATGTTATATGGAGACTTACTGAGCTAATTATCTATGCTTACGAGTTTGAAAAAAATTATTTGACCAGAATTCAGAATTCAACCTTTATGTTCTCAAGATTCATTAATGTTTATTAGAATTAGAGGGGGAAAACCCACCACAGATCAATTACTGTAAAATCACATTGTTACACTAAAAAGTGTACAAGATGGTTTTATAATGTAATATAGTTCTTGAAAGGTAATAGCTTGACTCATATAATGTCTTTCTCTTTTTCAATAGCCATCTTATTTACCAAGGCTGATTTCTTTCTCCAGGGACTGTTTCTCAGCATCTATCTAAACTGAAATTAGCACAAAATATTCCTTACCTGAATTTCTGAAGTCATTCTGTCAATTTCAATTTGTTGACTCTCTATTATCTAAAGAACAAGAAATAAAAACAATGGAAAAAAGTTACTCTATTAGAATTTCTTTTTACTATCTCAAGATAAAAAGGAAAAACAAGAGAATTAAGAATTTAAAAACATACATGCAAAAACCAGGATGTTAATTTTGAAAATAAAAGTACTATCTCCTGTAACTAGCAACATGATTTGGATTGCAGATGTCTGAAATGCATTTAAAAATTTCTCTAACTGATGATATGTGATTAGGTGTTTCTGTCATGACAGGAATCTAGAGTGATGGCTACACGGTGGAGTGGACCCGGGGGAGGGTTTGTAAAATAATGAAAGAATCTTTTCTTTTACTTTTCCAAGAGGGTAATGTCTGGTGGAGGGGAGCCTTGGGAGGGGACAAATCTACAACAATGAATGAATGGAAATCCAAAGCCTCTGTAAATTTTCACTGAAATTAATAACAAATTTAAATTAAAAAAAAAAAGAATTAAGTTAGAGTAAGGATGGCAATGGAACCACCTTACCTCTGTAACTTGATTTGTGCCACTATTAGAACCTCTACTCAGAATATTATTGCTTTTCAATTTTTGACTCATGCACTTTTAACTTGTTAAATTTGTTATCTTCTAGGCTGCAACACTTCCATGATACATCTTCAAGGATATGAACATGTAGGGCTAAGCACAATTGGAAATAGTGCATCTAAATTCCAAAATCAATCTCCATAATAGTCTATGTGTTTCCTACTGCCAAAGGGGCCCTTTAGAGTAGTGAGAGAAGACCTTCACCCTGAAACCCACAGCATCCCTTTTCAGCAGGAAGTAGCTAAGAGAATACGCCATCCCCTTTTCCTTATGAATCAGGGTGAAGTCTCTCTCAGGGAGAAGTGATAGGGAATGGCAAGGGACACAATGACAAAGGAGATTAATCAGAACTGGCTTTGACAAGCACTGTGGCAATTGGACAATTAAAACAGACATTGGGGGCATGGAAAGAAGAACGAACTGGGGAGGAGGGTGGAGAAAACAGTGCAACAATGAATGAATGAAAACCCAAAATCTCTGTAAATGTTCATTAACACTAATAAAATTTAATTAAAAAAATTTCTCTGATGCAAATTGTAAAAAATTAACTGAGACAGAGTAAATAATCTAAAAAGAGACAAGACTTCTGTTTTTAGCTAAGCAGCAATATAATTCAGGTTTGGCTTTTATTTTAAATTACTGAAATGACTACTTTGTTTCAAAAAGTTTTTTTATTGAAAATTCAATAAGGTATTACATATCAGCAAAGTTATACACATTGTTTTGTGCTATAGAGTCAGAACAGACTCATACCTGACCTCCAACAGATTTTCAGAAGCAGTTTAATCATATTGGAGGAGAATGTTCTTCTTTCTCCAGCAAAGTAACTAGTGGATTGGAACACAGTGGCTCTGCAATGGTAGCAAATTTCACATTTATTATGATGAAATTAATGTACTGACCTTACTAGCATTTTCATTTTGTTCTCTGAGGTTATCATTTTCATTCTGAAGTTGCTTTGCATCTAACATAGGGAGGCGAATTCCATCTTCTAGGCATCTTTCTACTTTCTGCTGCAAACTATTTTAAAAGACACAATGTCAACAATAATGTCAACTTGCTAAACTCAGTCTTATAGATGACTTTACATAACTAAAGTCCCTTCCTAGGTCTCTAATACTTTTAAGTCATGCATTAAGTAAGACCAAGAGCCAACGGATAAATCAATCTAACGACCTGTATTTCATATACAGAAGTAGAAATCAAAACCAACTCATCTTTTCAGACATGGTAAATTTAAGCCCACAGGCAAGAGCTGTCCAGGATGTGACACCTTTAGGTCCTATGAGCACTAGAAAGATCCTTCATTACTCTAAACTGAGCTCTGCATTCCCATGCCTATTTTTCTGCTTTCCCTAAAAATCAGAGTTCACTGACTAAGATGATTGTGGTAGAAGGTGAGACTGTGAATACATGTCTATTCTGTTATATTCTGAACTCAGCAGAAATGTATTTGCGTTGTTAGATACCAAGAAGTCAGCTCCAATTCACAGCAAGCCCATGTACAACATAACAAAGCAATCATCAGATTCTGTGCCATTCATTTTTATTATGATGTTTAAATTTTCATTTATTTAAATGCTGCCATTCTGTAGTGTACATGGCTGTAAAGAAGGTATCATCCCACCTTCCTCTTTTCAATGATCCTCTACCAAACATGATGTGTTTGTCCAGAAACTGGTTCCTCCTGATAACATGGCTCAAATTATAGGAGACAACGTCACACCATCCTGGCTTCAAGTGAGCACTGAGGCTACACTTCATCCAAAACACACTTGTTAGTTTTCTGTGGGGTTTTGTGGACAAATTCAGGATTCCTTGCCAATACCATAATTCAAAAGGATCAATTCATATGCATATGAGGTGAAGTGACTGAAAATGCTGCTATCTGAGTCAAGCACGCTGCAATCTTCAAATTGACATGCTTGCTCTTTCAGCATTTCAAACACAAGTCTTGATCATATTCTACCTCCTGAAATGATTGAGCATCAATCAGTCCTCTCTGGTGCAATAACTGTATTCCTTGTATCTTCTGATGCTTCCTGCAACATTCAGTGTTTTGTTCACAGAAGCCTTCATTATTGCCATTTGAAGTTTGGGTTTTCCCTTCAGTACTTTGAGGTTGGAAAAATAGAGAGGGTGTTCTTGCCTCCAAGACTTTCTAACTCCAAGACTTGGCCTATTTCATTATAATTTTTTGCTTTGCCTTCTTTCTTTATTTATACTTATTTGAGATGAACTTTTATTTCAGACAGTGTGGAGATAAAGTTAAATTAAAAATTCATTCTCAAATGCACTGTACTAAATTTTTCCAAATCATGTTCTCCAAAAACTTGCAGTTATTGTTTGAAGTGAGCGCTGGCTCGTGGCAACCCGACATAAACCTTCCTGATCCTGTGCCATCCTCACCGCCCCCCTCGGGTTAGGTCCATTGCTGCAGACATGGTATCGGCAATCTTGCTCAGTGTACGCCTCTTTTTCAATGACCTTTACATTTTTATTTTTATTTTATTCTTTTTTATGTGTACCGTCAAATCAGATCTGCCTGGTACAGGAAGAGATTGTTCCTCCTTCTCTAGCAGAGCATCTGGTGGATTTGAACCATGCACCTCTGGGATTGCAGTGCAGCCCCCCACCACCAGGCCACCAGAGCTTGCCGACCTTTACTTTTCTAACCATGTCTTTCTTCCTGTGGACTGACCCACTAAATCTCGCTGGTTTTGACTTTCAAAGTGTGCCTTATGGTGCTGGCTCTAAGAGAATGATTCAAGATCTACACTACACAAAATCCTGTCATCTAGAAGATCCTGGATGAGATGGACTGACACAGTGCTTGTGGCAATGGATGGGTTCAAGAGTGTCAGAGAGGGTTAGGTTGCCTCAGAACCATTGTTCATGGTGTGTTGCTATGAGTCGACGCAATGGCTCATAACAACAATCTTGTCATTCTCAAATGAGATCAAAACTAAGCATTGATCTCCCTTAGGAGTCCATGCTCAAAGTTTATGAGACCAATTCTCTCCATCTTTGTTTCTAGGGAGGACTATTTCTTCTAAAAAAGTGTCCTTTTTAAGTCCACAGTATGTTTTATTATATCCTTCAAAATTGTAATTCAAAGATATAAATATTCCTTCAGTCTTACACAGTCTTACTGGAGTCTTATTCTCCAGCTTACACATGTATACAAAAGGAATGAAAATAATACAGCACGGGACAGGTGCAACTCACTCTTTAAACTGACATTCCTGCTCTTTAACTATGTGGAGAAGTCATTGGCATCCACTTAGCAGAAGTCATTTTTTTCCTCATTTCTGTTTCCCTGGTGTTGACTAAAGATCCAAGTAAAATGAAATCCTTGGCACCTCCAATCTTTCTTCCATTATTTTTAGGATGCTGTTTACTGGTCCAGCGGTGAGGATTTTTTGTTTTGTTTTGTGTAATGTCATATTGAAAGCTAAAGTGCCATCAAGTTAACTACAACTCACAGTGACCCTATAAACAATGGCTCAAAACCTTGCCCTATACTGAGCCATCCACACCATGTCTGACACACTTGAACTAGTCACTATGGCAATGGATCTCGTTCAAAGGCCCCCTCTCTTACGTGGACCCACCATCATACCCAAGCATGCTGTCCTTCCCTAAGAACAGGCCCCCCATGACAACATGCCCAAAGGATGTGAGAGAGATTTCACTATCCTTGCCTCCAATGAGCATCATGGTTTCACTTTCTCCAGGATAGACTTATTTGTTCTCTTTGCAGTCTCTGGTTTCTAATCCTGTTTTCTAACATTCCAACTCAAAAGCATCAATTCTTCATCTGTCATCCTTAGTCACTATCATTTTCAGAAATGTAGCAAGTAATCAAAAAGACCATGGTTTGGATAAGGCCTATCTTAGTCTTTAAACTGATGTCAGTGCTCTTCAGAGGGGTCCCTGATAGCTGAAATTTCCCATACAAGGTATGTCATTTGACTTCTTGTCTGCTAGTATCAAAGGTGCTGACTGTGGGTCCAAGTGAAGATAAAATCATTGACAATTTCAATCTTTTCTCCACATTTTGCCCTCACTATCTATGAACAGTGCTCAGGCCTTTTGTTTCTAGGGTCATGAGTAGTCTATGACTCGATGGCACCTAACAACAACATCATCTTTGATATGCGCAAGCCCACTGCTATGGATATGTCAATCCATCTTGTAAAATTTAAACACACCAGTCAAAGACACTGCTAAACAACATTAGCTGTAATTTTAAAAATATCAGTTTATAAGAGAAAAGCCCTAAAAGGCAAGGTGTCTGAGTGAGCATGAAGGCACATGGCAAAAAAGGCCATCCCTGTCAGTTGTGGAAGGTACAATAAATAAATTTAATTTTATTTACTTATTTACTTCCTCACTTATTTATTTAATTATTTCATTAAGAAGCACTCTTTGAGAATTTGGGATTTTTTGCTGTTTTTTGTTCCTTAAATTTTTTACTTTAAAAAAAAAAATAGAGCCAACAGATAAAGAATTTGTGTTGCTATTTTCATAATTTAAAAGGTATCTTTTCATCAGTCTCACCTAAAATAATCAGCCAAGTGTCAATATGTTGTATAGAGATGTTAATTAATAACTGAGACAACTTATTTCAATGAAATTATATCTTCAGATACATCTTAAAGAGTAGAAGAGCAATAGTTAGAAATTATTTCATGTGAAATACTTTATGAAACATCTTAATTCTTAAATAATATGAAAAGGTTTTCTTACCTCTGTACTGTGGTTACCAACTCCTTTTCTTTCTTCTTCTGGCAAATTAGCTGTGCCTCCTTCTCCTGATTCTGTTTTTTGATATCTTCAATTTTTTTCTCCATATCTATCAAAGTCTCTTGTAAATTCTTATTTTTTTCTTCTAGAACCTGAAGCTAAGAATATTTTTGAAGTTAACGAAATATTTTGATATCTTTTTTTATTCTCATAGCTGAAATCCTACTATCTTCATTCTTATTTTAGTACTTATTAATATGCAACCTCTTATATAGAAGGGAGCTAGAAAAATTAAACTGTGATGATGGAAGAGAATGAGGTCAGAAATTTGTAGATAATAGGGACAGGAGTATAAACAATCTCATTAAATGTATATTGTTTTCTGTTCCTGATGATTCAACACCTGTGGTCCTGTGTTTAGTTCCTACTAGACTGTAGCTTTGATTTTTCAATATTTAAATTAGCAAAGAATGCTATGTAGATCCACAGTCTGCAGAGTAAAGACATATGCATTAGAACAATGACTGTCAACTAGGGGTCAGTCTTATCCCTCCACCACCGTCAAGGGACATAAGGAAATACATATGGATATTTCTGGTTGTGCAAGAAGAAATGAGTGCTTTAGCACCTTGTAGGAAGAGGCCAAGAACACTGTTAAATTCTACTATACAATGAACAGGTCCCTACCACACACACAAAAAGATCAGATTTCAAGACAAACAATGCTATGGTTTGAAAACTTCCTATCTGAAAGACTTGCTTAACAGATTTATAATTTAGGATAAACAGGCAGGTGTCATAATTGGTAAAGACTTTGAAAGGGAAATTATTAATCAAGAAAAATGGTCAGAAGAGAGGTCTGAAGAATGAATGTAGGTCATAGAACAAGGTATAAGGAAAAATTTATGAAATGGTCATAAAGAATGAAGAAAATTAAACATCTGGAAAGATAAGTCAACATAAGCATGAGCACTGGTGGGGGCCTGGGAATACTGGCACAGGCCAGAACTGGGTTGTTGAGTGGAAAGGTAGTGATGGCAGTCTCACACACATTTACAAACTCCCTTTTAGTACAGAACCTTAACTGAGGCTGTTACCACACAGGGTCAGTGGGATATTATCAACCACCATTAAGAAGAGCTATTCATGGTAAAATGAACTAAGGTTGTGACTAATGTTCTAAAAACAGCAATTAAATATAGATTTAACTTTTAATTAGATAAGAACAAACTAAAATTCTTTAAAAATTGCTAACTTCCTAAAGAATCAAATAGTAAACATTTTCTCGTGACTAAAAGCCAAGCATTTCTCTCATGTTACCTGCAGACTCTGGTTCTGTACATCATCTAGAGTGGGCAGATCGGCCAAATACTTTTCCAAAGTCTCAATCCTCCTCTGCTTCTCCTTGTTTTGTTCAGATTCTTTCTGACATTTCTTTTTCAGGCTGCTGATGTACCTATCTCTGGTTTTAAGCTAAAGCAAAAGATTATGGGTTTTTAATTGTTTCAAGTCATTAAAAATTAATAAATACAACAAAATCAACATTTCCAACCCTCAACATTACTGAATTCACCAATGGTTAATCAGGACTGTTATTTTTTTCCATCAATTCTATTATTTGTCATTTTCCTTTCAGAAACCTTTGAGGTTTTTCTTGTTTGCTTTTCAAACTGATGGCATCTTATAAATTGCTATCATCTGAGTGGCGGTCAGGTGGTTGTTGTAATTGCTTACACATGTACTAACTGGCCAAGGCTGTTTCCTATCTTTGTCAATTCAGTTAACATTCAGTACATGTTGAAACCATGTGCTGTATTTAAATGAAGTCAAATATCTTCAAAAAATTGTTACATTATAATTAGATATTGAAACAAAAGTTGTTAGACACTTAGTGAAGCCTTTCTCTCTGGAGGACTAAATCTTATTTTCTTACTGTCTTGCAAAGCTATACTGAAATTTTTACAGGAACAAATTAAGAAAGGTGTTTAAAAAGCTATTTTGTTACAAAGAGACTTGTAAAAGGACTGCTTATCATGTACTAAGCAATACAATTAAAGGTAGAATTTACCAAATCACTGAGACCAGCTGAGGGGCTAGTGACCACCCAAAACCCTGCCTCAACTGTTAAATCACTATATCATAATTGGATTTACAGCATATTTTCTTTCTAAGAAGTATATAAAAGCATGTCTTACCACTGATGTTGTATTAGGATTGATGAAATATGCTAATTTAACATCTATTAACATTTCCATACGTGAGTCTACTAATACCAATTTGTAGCAATAAATTTGAAATATGCCGTATTTAAGTTTATTTCATTTCCAAAGCTCTTTCATACTTACTCATACTTGAAATGAAGTAAAAGCACTATGTGCACATGAATAAAGATAAAAAGCAAAGTCACTATCCCCAAGCAGATGGTGACTAAAATGTAAATAATCCAACTTATGTTTATCTTAAATTAGCAAATTTACCAAAAAGACGAATTTTTTTTTAAGAACGTATGGAGTCCTAAAGTATGTTATTTCCCTTCCTCATGCTTACTGGGAAAGTAATGGTAGTAATAATTAGTATTATAATGAATTATTCTTTAAAGTTTTAGTAAGGATAACACCTATGTACAGGGTTGTGTTTTTTTTAATGCCTTGCCTAATTTCTTTCAGGTCCAATGTACAATGTCCATTAAAGCAACTTCAAGTGGAAAAGTCAGTTACATTTCACTTCATCTGTTCATTCTATCAATAGCATTAATATTTCATTCTTTCAATAACATTAATAACCAGTAATACAATTTGCTGTGGAGTTAATGTTGACTGATGTTAGAGTTTTCAATGAGCAGTCAACTTCAAGGGCTCGTGGTTCAAATCTACCAGCTGCTCCTGAGGTATAAAGATAGGCAATCTCCTCCCATGTGATTGATTTACTACCACTGCTGGGCCAGCTATGAGTCAGTTCCAACTCAATGGTACACAGCAACATCATCAATAATAACTTTCCAGAAGTGGATTGCAAGGCCTTTCTTCCAAAGTTCTATAATACGGTGGTGGGGGCAGCCAGCACACTGCCACATGCCAGTTGTGACTCACAGGAACCCTACAGTACAGTGGAGCTGTTAACTACTGTGCCACTGGATTTCCTTTGAATCTGTTTACTACTTTGGGCAAGATGCACTACTAGTTAAACAGACAAATCCCATCCTTTTGCAAGGCTTAGGAGTAAAAGTGAATATACTGGAGTGGTCTAATACAACCTGTTGACAAACTGGTATATATAAACCTTTGATAAATGTAAGCAATAAAAGACTATTTAATACAATTCCTTTTTAAAATACAAAGGCGAGGAATCTTTACTGACTTAACTAATGATGAATTAAGAGTTGAGATTTAAACCGAGGTCATCTAATTGATCAGTGTTCTTTCCAGTTTTCCTGACTCATTACCAGGTTTCTTCTTTCATAGACAAGTTAATGGGTGGAACTATAGACATTTTGGTTCAGAGCATGACTGATCTTTTGCAAAAATTTCAACCTCGAATCTTGGTTCTGCTCTGTCATATTGGGTCACTATGGGTTGTTATCAACTTAATGACACACCAACACAAGTTACTAGCAGGGTTCCTTAGCTGTGCCTGCATTTCCCCTCAACCAGGCTGGCAATGGTCTTAGCAAATGACCCTGTACAAACTACAAAAGTAAACATAATGAACCAGCTTATTTTTACTAGATATTCCCTAATATAGAATTGTTTTAAGAGTCTGAAATGTAGCACAATGGTGTCCTTAAAAACCAGCTACTGGAGGGGGAGGGAGTCTTGGCAGGGAGAAAAATGCAACAATGAATTAATGGAAATCCAAAGTCTCTGAAACTTCCAAAAAAATTAATTAAAAAAAGTATCTGTCTGGGAATCACACTTCAATCCGCAATACCAAATTTCAAATCCTTTCAAACAACTCTTTGATTCAAGCTTTATTAAAAAAAAATAAATATTCCAGTATTATTCCATTCCAAACTCTTCTAGAAAAAAAAGAAATGTGTTTAATGATTCATTTATGACTCTACCTGATTCATGGCATACATTTTTCAGCTATGAATAAAAAGTAGCTAAAAAACAGGAAAAGAATATAACATTTTTATTTGGTTCAGGAAATTATGTTTACTCAGATTCAGTTAATATTTCTGTTCCTGTCTTGACTTTAGTGTTAGCCATATTGACAGCTTATCTGAAGGTCGCTTTAAGGAAGCATTAAATGGGGCCATTTACTCTCTATGAGTAAGTACTCATATGCAATATGCAAGTTCAAGCTGAAGCTGAGGAAAATTAAACCAAATCCACAGGTGCCAAAATATGACTTTGATTTCATACCACCTGAATTTCAGAATCATCTCAG